TTGTAGAGATGGGGTCTTGCTCTGACTCTGGCTGGCCTCGAACTGTGAGTTCAGGCAATCCGTCTGCCTTGGCCTCCCAGAGTGCTGGGATTACAGGTGTGAGCCACTGCATCTGGCCTAGCTTTGCTATTCTTTTTCAAGATTGACTTGGCATTTGTGGTCTCTTGTGGTTTTATGAATTTTAGCATCATTTTTCTATTTCCTTAAAAACTGCAGTTAGGATTTTGATGGGAATTACATTGAATTTGTAGATGGCCTTAGATTATATGGATATTTTCACAAGATTAATTTTTTATTTTGGATTAATAAAGGGTACCTATGATTAGGTTACATTGTTTGCATTTGTTAGGTAAAGTCCGAGTTGTAGTTGGGTCCTTTACCCAGGAGGTGTGCCAAGTGCCTATATTGTACTCATTGGGTGGGAACTTAACAAACCCCCAATACTCTTTTCTTGAATTAATAAAGTATTGAAATCTGAAGAATGGGGAAACAATATTAATTTTTTTCAGTCCTTGAACACAGGACGTCTTTTCATTTTTTCTGTCTTCTTAATTTCTTTCATCAATGTTTAGCAGTTTTCAGTTTTCAAGTCTTTCACTTCTTTAAAGTGAAAATAAAGTTAAATTTATGCATGTTTTAATTCTTTGTGCTCTTATAAATGGGATTGTCTTCCTAACTTCCTTTTCAAATAGTTAATTGTTAGTGTATAGAAGTACTGATGATTTTTGTATATTGATTTTTGTGTGTGTATATTGATTTTGTATTTTGCAATTTTAGTGACTTTAAACTGTTACTAGTTTTATCAGTTTGTTTTGTCATCTTCAGAGTTTTCTTTATGTAAGATTACATCATCTAAAAAGAGGTATAATCTAACTTCCTCCTTTCTGATGTGATGCGTCAGACCTGGCAGAGGCCTAAGAGTGGAAAGACCATTGCTAATTTGGGGTGCAGTCCTGGAGAAGTTGGGTGCTAGACACATAGATGAAGTCTTTCCCTCTTTAGAGGTAGTCAGGGGCTGGGATCTTTTGTTTCCTTGCTCTATGGGGAGCTTCCCTGGAAATCCTGGGCACTGGATGTGCAAACCTACTCCTACCCTCCCTGTAGAGAAGTTAGCTGGGGGCTCTCCTCCAGTGTGTGGTGCTGTGACAGGTGTAAGGACTCTGGGGAGAGAGTGTCCCAAACCTCTGCTTCAGTAACTCTGGTCCAGTGTTTACCTGGGATGTGGGGCCATTGTCAGGTTCTGATTTCTTACAAAGGAGACTTGTCTGGGAAGAATTGCTACACTGATGTGTCTGTAAGGGGATGAAGGTGCCAGGCTTCCTATTCTTCCATCTCGCCGGTATCAGCCACTATTCATACTTACTTTTTATTTCCTTGTTCTGCTGCTTTTTGAGATTGCCAAGTTCTGAGTTAGGTAAAATTGGTTTGCCCTGGGGAGGAGTTGATGTAGATGATGGGAAACTGCGCCAAGTTATTTCTTCCCCTTTATTTTCCATGATTACCATAAAATCACTTTGAATTTATATTTCTTCTTGCTACAGTGTTTTATGTAAGAGTATTTCAGACAATCTCTTCTAAAGCTATCAGTGCTCACTACATCCTTAAAATGAACTGACCTTAAGTAGTAGTGCAGGGGGGGACTGCATTTGAGTTATAATGCTAATTCCTAAAGGAAAACATACTCTATAATATCCTTGTATCCGGGGTTGCTGTGTGATGTCAATCAGCTTTCAATTTCTTTAGAGGTGATGCAATTGTTCTGTCTCAAAACTTAAAAAGATTCTATTTTGGACGTCCTTACAGGCCACTATAAAGTACCAGCATGAGGCTTTCACCCTTATCTTTTTGTTCGCCAATCTATGAGTTGAGTTCTTTCTTCCTTCTTTAATTCTGGAAAAGTATTATTTTTTTTTCTTTAAAATATTTCTCCTTCCATGTCTTTATTTTTTTACTTGCCACTCTAGATGGAAATATTATCATATTGACTCCTCTAAATTGTGTCCTGTGTATTTCTTAATTGTTCCTATATATAGGAATATATATATATATATATATGTATGTATATATATATGTTTCCTAATGCTTTCACTGAGAGTTTTCACACTAAATATTTTGGATAACCATAATTTTTTTCTATTCAGCTCCCCTAATGCATTCTTTCATTTCAACACTGCCTTCTTTATGCCTAGTATTGACAATTGTTTCTTCTTTACATTTGCCTGTTCTGATTCATATTCAGTATCCCGCAATGTCCTCCCTCATCACTTTTATGATATTTATTGATCTTATTTTAAATCCTCATTCTCTTGGAGCTGTTCATTTATTTTGCATTGGTTGCTATAGATTGTTATGAAGTCCTGTTTCTCAGATCTCTTGTTATTTTTACTAGATAACTTTCTTTGCCCTGGGATTATTAAATATTTTGGCTGAAAACACATTATGGGAGGAAGTTCATGGTCCAGAAGCAGCTTGTGCCCGTCCTGATGAGAGCAGTGGGGGTGGCGGGTGCGTCTCGGGTCATGAGCCTCTCGGGGCGCTGGCTCGGCTCCATCACCACGTATCTGCTTCATTTGCTCTCTCTGAAACTCAGGGACTCTCCCTGTTCTTCTGCCACAGGCTCCACTTTTTCTCAATTAAAATATGTGACAATCACTTAGTCTTAGGAATGTGTAGGAGCTTATACCTGAGTAAAGGATGATCAACTTCCCAACCTAGCTGGAGTCAAAGACCAGCCTGATGTTATCTCAGCAACTGTCCCTCATAGGTGCTGCCATGTTTTTTGGCTTTCGGTGGTAATAAGGTAGAGAATTGGGCTTCCAGGTTTATACAGGGGAGTAAAGAACTGGACGCTCTCTCTCAGCTATCTCTGAACCACAGTGCACTTAGCCCTCTTCTGCTATTGGCTGTAATTCCCTCCCTTCCAAACACACATAGGTACCAAACAACCTTGTTTCCTTGATGGTCTCTATCTGGCCTTACGTGGTGTCTCATACCTACAATTCACTTCCATGCTTTGGAGGTATCTCCAGTGTTGTGTTCGAAAAGGATTGGCAAAGACACAGGATCAGGGCTTTCTTTACGCGGGGGAGCCACTCAGAAAGTGGAAGCAAGGTGTGGTTGAGCCCCCAGCACAGCAGCTCATAAACCCAGCTACCAAGTAACTCCCAGGAGCAGCGTAAGTGGAGGGGTTGAATTTAGCTCCTCCTCAAGAACCAATGTCAGTCCATCATCTTGTCAGATATCAGAAATTCCTCCAGTTAAATTTCAGAGAAGATTGTTTCCGTTAACTAATATAGTGAGGCTGAATAATTTAGAACTATGAAGAATAAGCTTCTGGGGGAAAAATTATAATAAATTGCATTGAGAGTAGAACCATTCCTAAAAACAAGATTTACTTAACTCAGAAAATTGGAAAAATAATTACCTTTGAAAAAGAATCTAGAGGTGGGTAGGAGGGGATTCATAATAAATAAAAGAAAAAAAAGAAAAAGAATCCAGGAATAATTACATCTAGAAGTAAGGGGTAAAATTCCCTTGTTGTATGGGATGTATTGCTAATAATTCATTAGCGTAACCATTTCCCTCAGTTTCCCACATGTACTGCACATAAGATAAATCCCTGTATAAGATTTGCAGGCAGCTGTGAAACCCGCAGGCAGGGGTGCACCTGGTGTAAGCTGCAGGGGTCTGCAGAGCACTGAGCTAAAGTCTCCACCAAGGAGATCCAGAATTCACTTCTGTGCTTTGGCGGCAGCTCCAGGACACAGTATTAGCCAGTGATTTTCTCGTGTGAGTCCTTGCTAGAGAACTCTCACGCTTTGCCCACCATGAAGCATGATTTCATTATGCGGAAGGGCCGGGCACGATTCCTGCTCGGCCAGTCACTCCACTGCCTGCCACGGGTCCCCCTCACATGCACACAGTTTTAATGCCTCCTTGTCTGATAATGTACTTCAAAGGCTCAGAAGTAGACACGCAGCCTTTGGGAAGCTAGGGATAGGACACCACACCAAATGATCCCATTATGGATCGTGGTATTTACCAGCTGTGTATTTTTTAGGTCTATGGGCAGACAAGGGCTTGTAACATAGTCACTATATATATATAATATATATGTATATATGTATATTATTTTGCAGAGAGGAAGATGGTGTTTCCTTTCCACAAAGTTTAATGTGAGTGGGTACAAGGCGGGTAGGGGCATCATGTGTTACTGCTGTCTTGTGGTGATTTCAGCTGTGTCAGAATTGCTCACTTTAAGGGCAGGTCTCAGGTGGGTCTGGGAGAGTCTGTAGCTTTAAATCTGTGATTCATTCATTCCTTCCTTCCTTCCTTCCTTCCTCCCTCCCTCCCTCCCTCCCTCTCTTTCTCTTTTTCTTCTTTTCTCTCTTTTTTTATGTTAAAACTTGTTTAATGTACATAGTTACCGTTCAATAAAAAAAAAAAAAGAAAAAAAAAAAAAACTTGTAGGCCCCTAACTCAAAAAACTGATGGAAAGAAAGGAAAAGTAAAAGGAAGGGAAGGAAGGAGGGAGGAAGAAAATCAGGGGGGAGGGAAGGTGGGAAGGAAGGAAGGTGGGAAGGAAGGACAGGGAACTATTATGGTAAATAAAGCCTTGTACTATCTTTGTTGTGTGAAGACTTTAAGGATTTGGTAATAGAATGTTTTGCTTTCTGCTGTTTTCTGGTTTCACTTTTGGAGATGACCATCAGTAGAAAAGGTTCCCCCCCATCTATTTGTTTGGCAATCTGTAATGGGGGCAAAGTGCACTGACACTTTCATCAGACGTCCGCTCAGACTGGAGCTCCACTGCACCCCTGGCCCCTCCAGGCCACCTCTGCCCTCTGCCCCTCCAGGCCACCTCTGTTCCCCTCTGCCCCTCCAGGCCACCTCTGCCCTCCGCCCCTCCAGGCCACCTCTGCTCCCCTCTGCCCCTCCAGGCCACCTCTGCTCCCCTCTGCCCCTCCAGGCCACCTCTGCTCTCCCTAGAGGCCACCTACCTTTCCTTGCCAGGTGCACCGCTTCTGCGTGCTCCGCGCTGGTGACCTCAGTGCCGTTGACAGCCAGCACCACGTCCCCAATCTGCAGCCGGGCCTCCTCTGCGGCGCTGTCTGAGAAGAGACAGATGACAGGGTCTCATGGAGGGAGGGTCCCAAATTGAGTGCCCTGTTGTTTGTGTCTTTTTAAAAGGCTCTTTCTCTAAAGGGCCTTTCTTTCCACCTTTAGACAATTGCTGCTGTCATTAATAAGAAGGAAAATGCTCTCTTGAAGCCTCCCTTTCATTCCCTGGACGTGGTTTCCCGCACATTCAGCCGGGCATCTGCGTGGCCTCTTTGCAATATAATAGCAAAGCCACTCAGAAACTCAATCTATTCACCCACCAGAAGGCTGGCCTGCGAGTTGGCATTCCCCCGCTGCTGCTGGGCTTCTTTGTAACCCTGAGAAAATCATTTAACCTCAATATCTTCATCTATAAAAAGCAGGGTGGGGGCAGAGCTTCTCTGCTGGATTGTTGAGGGAACAAGTAATTGAAATACTTATGAAGTTGTGGCAAAAACAGATCTTGGAGTAGCAAAAGAAAAAAGAACCCAAGAGCTACTTTTACTTTCATTGTATGGCTCCTCTCTGAGCCATCTCAGAAAGGAGACCAAAAATAGCCTAAGCCTCGGGACTTAGGCTTTGGGAGACTGCAAGGACCCTTCCAGAAGTTATTTATTTTATCCCCCGGTTTTCTGCACTCGTTGAAACACACCCGATATCCTCCCGGAGGAGAAAGGTTATAAGAAGCCGTTTCAAGGTTAATTCATTTTTAATAAGGTCTCCCGTATGTTTGACCAAACTTCTTCCTGTGGCAGTTTAAGTCCATCTTTTCTTTTTTATTTAAACCCATTTTCTCTTTCTCAGATCTCAGAGTGGGGTGTGTGCATACCGTTCATGGACTTGCAAAGTATCATGCAGCAAGATCAGGCTTTTATTTTCCAGAATATCACAAACCTGCTCAAACAATTTTAATCATAAGGCACGACTCAGTTGGTAACATGACTTAGAATATTTATAGTAACGACTACAGTTTGTCTAAGTCTGCTCCTAATAGGGGAAGGAAAGGCTTCTCTGCTTGGATGAGTAATGCCATCAACATGGGGGGGAGGTAAAAAGCAGATAATATTTGATATTCCCATTCATTTATATGATATTCTTGCAGTGAACTAAATAAAGCCTATGGTATGATTTGAATTATATTCCTTCAAAGTTTAAAATCTCAGAGGAGTTGCTTATGGTGGCAATGTTCTCAATCAAATTCCAAAATGACAACATAGGTCCACCCAGAGATGATTTCTTAGCAATTTTTGTATTCCCCATGGCACCAAATATCATGTCTTATATACAGGGTGGACATGAAGTTCACGTGCAATTTAAAATACTTCAACATAGTAAATTGCACCCGAACTTTATGGGCACCCTGTATAGTAGTCTTGCAATATATACTGACTGAATGAATGACCCCAAATTATATGCCTGTCTTCAAAGAGCTTGGAATTCCGTTGGGAAAGAAAATTCATGCACGAGCAAAAGGAAAAGTGACTTTGTAACACAGTGAGTAACAAGTGTAAAATAATGAAGACCACAGGTCTATGAAATGTCCAAAGAGGGAACTCTCACACCCTTTTGCAGTGGGTAAGAAATGTTTTTCAGAAGAAGGGGAATCTGGGCTGACGTTGATGAATGAATAGATTCTCCATAGTGGGAAGTGATGTGGGGGGAGAGGGGCTGCAAGGGCTGGGTGTTCACAGGCCCAGCTGCTCTTCCTCTGGGCTCACAGAGGGGCAGCTCATCTCACGACTGCTTTGCAGCTGGGCCTGCAGCACAACTGAGTTCAAGCCACAGGAATGTGAACAGAACTGCCAGGCAGCACAGCGCGGCCCAGCCCAGAAAAACACAAAGAGCCGCCCCTCACAGTCTGTTCCAACCTGCCTGCCAGATGTGGATGACTTCCAGGCCCTAAGGGATGACAGATTCATAGGAGAAAGCCCGATTATGGAACATTATGTAGGGGTAAAACCACCCTTCAACCACGAACATCCACATGGGACTCTTTTCGACTTAAGCTATTAATACCTTTTTCTTATTGCGGCTAGCATAATCTGAAAGAATAAGAAAACAAAATAAGCTTTCTGAGCCAAGATAGAAAAAAAGGGCTGTTTTAAGACAGGACAAAAAGTTAGTGACTCAAATGAACTGGAACGGCGGCTCTGTGGGTGTGACTGTGTGTGTGTGTGTGTGTGTGTGTGTGTGTGTGGTGGGCGATAAGAAAGATCGCCAGTGTGTAAAGGGGCTGGACGGTGAGGATATGGAGTTTGTATGTGATCCCTTAATAGTAGAGGCCATTAGAGGTTTGTGAGCAGAAAATAGATACACAGTGGTTTTTAAGAAGATTAATTTAGAATAGGGAGAGATTAAGTTAAGCAGATCAGCATGGATATTATTACTAGAATTAATATAGGCCTGCAACATGACTCTGGCAATGGGAACTGGAAATGAGGGGCAGGGATACAACTCTGACCCAGGACCCGAAACATTTGATTGTACTCACTTGTTACCTGTCACCCTTAATGGGTTGTGAGCACCTCATGGGCAAGTAGAAATTCTTATTGACTTATTTACTTCTTTTGGTCTTTCCCATGCTCAGCATAATCTCTGAAACATGGGAAGGTATTTTAAAAGTTGCTTGAATATGCGTTTGTTTTAAGATACACTGACATAATCGTGTGAAATAAAACCGAAAATGTTCATTGGTGTGATAGGAAACAATGGGCCTGAGAAATAGATTGAGGATTCGTAACCAAAGGGACAAATTTAAGGAGAGAAACAGGGAACATCGAAGGCAAACTCTTGACAAATAATCATCTCTCAGGAGAGAGGGGCAAAGACAAGACAGAGCATGGCACAAAGAAGGAGCAGGTGCGCCGTGGAGGGGACGGACGCGGCAGGATAAAGCCAGTGAGGGCAAGAGAGGAACTGTCAGCAGGTCTATAGTGATGGCATCAAAGTGGCCATAACAATAACATTTTGATCCTTTTTCATTCAAGAATTCAAGAACAATGAAGATGGGAAAAGAGGATTAAATCTGGAGACGGGAAAGTTAATAATACCTAAGGAAGTTGAAAGTGGATTATTTAAGTGCAAGGAAAATGTCTGAATCATGAGTGCCAATCCATGTGTGTTAAAGGTTGGCCAGATGAGGTAATAAACAACTCTGATTAAAAGATGCATCTAGTAATAGGTTGTTTGTTCTAAGTAGAATTTGCTTTTAAACACTTTTTTCTTAGAGGATTCATTAGATATGAAAATAATTCCCTTTTTAAAAATACCTTTATTGATCTCTATATAATTCAAATACCATATACTTTACCCATTTACACTGTACAGTTCAATGGTTTTTAGCATATTCAATCTAATTTTAGAAGATTTTGGTTACTCCAGAAAGGAGCTCCACAGCCAATAGCAGTCACTTCCTATTCCTCTGAAACCCTCAGCCCCAACAAGCACTAACTTGCTGTCTCCATGGACTTGCCCTCTGTGGGCGTTTCACACACATGCAGTTACACACTACGCGGTCTGTTGTGTTCGGCTCCATTCACTAGGGTAATATTTTCAAATTCATCAGTTACGGCCTTTACTGACTTTCCTTCTAGTGGATGAATTACATTCCATGATAAGGATATAGCCTGTTTCGTTCAGCTCTTCATCAGTTCGCGGGTATTTGGATTGTTTTCCCTATTTCCTTTGTCTAAACAGTGCTGCTATTTTTTTTGCAGACATACATTTTCATTTCTCTTGAGCATATATGTGGTGTAGAAGTGCTGATCAAATAGTAACTTTATGTATAACTTTTTGAAGAACCCTCTAGAATGTTTTCAAAAGTGGCTACAAAATTTTACATTCCCATCCGCATTGTGAGTCCTAGATTTCTCTACCTTCTTCCCAGTATTTGCTATTCTCTGAGTTTTTATGATTTTCGCCATCCTAGTTGGTATACGGTGGTATCTCAGTGTGGCTCTCATTGCATTTCCCTGATGGCTGTTGATGTTGGACATTTGTTTGCGTGGTTATCAGCTATTTGCATTTCTTCTTCAGAGATATGTCTCTTTGAATTTTCCGTTCATTTTAAAATTTATATTATTTATCTTTGCATTATTAAACCACCAGAGTGAAAATGATTCTTGCTTGTAGAAGAATTATTTCTGGAGTGTAACTCTTCCCCACATTACATGTGGTTGCTCGTAACTTTAATCCCGGATGTGTAACTATGTTCTTCTATTTTGCAATGCAACTTACAGATCTTCCATTTATCCATCAATTATGGTGGGAGTTTAAGGCATTAGGACTTCTTCAGAGAGGGAGATATTTCAAAGTGAGCCTGTAATAGACCACACAGATGTTCGCCCTATCTGAGGCCGGTCTTGGGAGCAGATGGAAATATTCTGCCTACATTGCACAGGATGGTATGATAGGGGTAGTGAGAAGACAAGACTCTGATTTTTTAAATGTACTTTTTCTTCAAAAGGATACTTGACTGTATGGTTCCGTGTTTATTATAAAGAGTTAAATGCTAAGTTACTCTATCCTTACAGGACTACTTACATATAATGCATAACTGAAAAGCTTATAATTAAAAAGGGAGGCTTGTTCTTTTCATTTTAAAATTGTACTTTAACAGTAACACTTTAAACTCTAGAGCTTCTAGAAAGATGGGTCTGTCCATAATTTCCTCTATGATTTGTCTGTCTCTGAATGTATAGTTTTCCTTTCAAGTTTACTTGGTATTAAAGTTGGAACATCTGTTTCTTTTGTTTATGCCAACAGATCTCAGAAGCATTTAGGCTTTCATAGGAAATGTTCATGCAAACACCAGCCGGGTGTGGGCAATTAGTTATGTAAGCTACAAGCAAGCTCTGTCTCTGCGCTATAGATCATTTCCACCCCACCTACAGGTCTTCCCGCTTTATCTTTTTATCTTCAGTGTGTAATTAAGCCTCTCTGGTGCATCCAGAATAATGTTTGGTGGTGTGAATAAGATTCTCAGAAGTGCTGAAAATACGTGTAATTTTAAAGTCCCTCAACCCCTCATTTAGCAGATTTGACTAGACAATGGATTTCAGAGGGCGCACTTCAGCGCTGAGGACTACACTTTAAAACTGAGAAGTAGACTCAGCAGCAGCGTGAATCCCTGCCAGGGAAGCACTTTCTTATGTTGAATAAAATCCTAGGTTAACTATGTATTGTGCCACTTCTGCTGCAGTCAAGATGCCTCAGCTTTTCCTATTACAAAACCTCAGGGCCTCCTAAATACGAAATCATTTGCAATGCAAACATTTTGAATTGTGTCACATTCGAATGGATGAGATACAGTCAACTATCTCAGCTGAGCAGTTGCAAAGTTTCAGAAATTAAATAAGTCAGACCATTTTATTAAATTGCATTTATTTGTTTTACCTAGAACCACAGGCACCCAAAAGTACATCAAGATTTTGGATATTTTGAAAAAAGCTGCTGAACTGGTAAAGTCAGACCTGTATGATTTTTAAAGGTGATCGTTTTTATATTCTTCGTAAATTCCTTTGTTTCTTTGACTAATCTCATGAAGTCAGAGGGAGACATAGGAAAGAAGGAGAAAAAGAAGGGAGATGTGAAGGAGGAGAGAGTGGGTAGGGAGGGGGAAGGGGGAGAGGAGAGAGAGGAGTGTGGTGGGTGCTGTGAGGCACTGCTGGTTAACTCTCCCTGAATGAACACTTGCTTTGTAAAGCCTGCTTTCTTTTAAAACTGGCAAACAATCAGAAGCCAGTTTATGATTATAAAGGTGCCTGTTTGGGGGTCTGCAAAACAGAAAGGACATGACACACGGTGTTTTGTTCCTGCTCATTCTGAGGGCTCTAGGGAGCCAAGTACAGTTACAGGTGACCCTGGCAAACTGGCTGTCCTTGTCTTCTGTCATCTGGATCCAGTTGCCAAAATCATCTCTTCTACCATTCGTTTGTAGTCAAGCCTTCCAAACCTCAATCCTACCAATGTTTGAGGAAGACTCTCTCCCTTCCTTAATCATTAGAGAAATTATTTGCTGAAGAGTTACTTATATATTTGATTAACTGATTAAATGTTGTTTGAAATTCATTCAAATCAAAGTAAGAATATATCCGTGCATTTGTATTTTAATATTGAATTGTAGGAAAAAGGCTTTGTGGGTATTTGGTTACTACCCACCTTAGTAACCTGGTCCTTTGCTTTCCTGTAAATACTTAGAATCTAATAGGTAATATTTTACCTCCCACCTGCAATGAAACCCAAAGCAAAAACAAAAAATACTCTACCAAGACTTTGATTGAGATCATATCTATAGATCATTTTAAAGAATTGCTATCTTTAAATATTAAAATTTAAAAAATGAACTTTTTCTCCTTCCTTTAATTTAGATGTTTTGAATTTTTTCTATATTGTTTTGTTTTCAAAGTAATATTCCTCACACCTTTATTAGAAATATTCCTATCAATTTGTTCTCCCCTCTCCACCAGCCCATGGTCAGGAGAGTTGATACCGGCCGAAAGCCTTCTGCTGACATAATTTCTGACCTATCTCACCTCCCATCACGGCCACGTTCTCCCTGGGTTGCTTCCAGCTGATGACTGAACTTGGAGGGTCTCCTAGAGTCAGGCTCTTGCTGGCCAGTCTCAGAAGGACACTGCTGCCCTTTAGCCTGACTCAGAATCTCTCTGAGCCACACTGCAGTTGGAGGCTCTTCCTACCCAGTCCTGCGTCTTTTCTTTTTCTTTCCTGCAGCCGCCAGGCGGATCCACATCAGGCCCCAAGGCTCTCCTGCTCACTCGCACACTCTGCCCTTTGCTGGGCAGAAATCTCCTCCAACCTTTTGTGCGTCTATTTTCATCTGGATGTCTATTTCTCAGATGCAGAGACTGAGACAAAGGAACTCTGTTTGTTACTTTAAAGATGTTTCTCTCTGTACCTAGTTTATTTCTGTTTTTGCAAGTCATGAGGTGAGAGCAGAAGGGATGAACCATGTTGGAGAGAGGACCAGCTTTCAATAGGAGGAGAGAGAAACAAGCACAATTGAAGGTATAGAGGCGAGCTTTCTGACAAATTGAAACAGAGCTAGGAAGCAGTCAGGAAGCTAATCCGTGCTTACAAGTCGGGGGCAGGCTCAAGGTGAGGCAGGAGAGATGCTTTAGATTGCATACGAATTCAGAAATTGTGATTCTCATATCAAATTACATACACCTGTAGTTTTATGATTATTAGACCAGATTGAACTTTTAATACCAAGGTAAAGAGGCAGTACCTTTATTGTCTAAGATAACTCACCCCAGAACTGATCCAGAGAGGAGAGAATGGATCATCAAGGTAAGTTCAATGGAGAGCATTGGGAAAAGTTACTGTACAGTAACCAGGTGAACCCCACTCACGGCATAAACGGTTAAGTGTTAGAGAGATGTCACTTCAGTTATGTAGCTAAGATGATATTGAATGTACTTAACACTGTTACAAAAAACTGAGTCAGAATCAAGTCAACCTGTGGGATACTGGAAAGGCAGACCTAATAACAATGAGTATAAAACAGAGATCCGGTTACTTAGTACTTAGATAATTCCCCTCATACTTAAAAGAGATTGAGTCGCTACATATAACAAAATCTGTGTCATCAATCACTGAGTGTAAGTGCTGACTGTTAGAAGTTTCCGTAGACACCATCTAAGCTGTAACTTGCTCGCTGCCCTGGACGATCTCCCATTCTGAATATTCAGTATTTTTTTTCTCCTGCACTGAGAACTGATTAGAACATTTCTCAAAAATGAAGAGTGGGTGGTTGGGCTCTGACTCCTGCCTGCTGGTGTCACCTCTGCTGTGTAACGTGGGCCCCCTGTCACCTCCCTAACCTTTCCCAGAGCTGAGCAGTCATTGCTTTACTGATGTGAGAGAAGACTCCCAGTGGAATCACAGGGCACAGGAGAGTGACTTCGGGTGCTGACAAAGGAGAACAAAGTGTCCCCAGGTGACAGGAGGCCAGAGAAGGGATGAGGCATAAGGACAGGGCAGGAGGGGTGGGACTCCCCTTCCTACTGCCCCTGGCTTTCCAGCATTCAGGAACCCAGGGCTCCTGGGTCACATGACAAGCATTTGTGGGTATCTATTCTACTGTCTTCTGGACCGTGCATGAGGTATTGAGGGTGGACAGGTGGTAAGGTGCAGTTTCTGATGCTGAGGAACTCACAGTCCAGATAGGGAGGCACAGAAGCAAACGATGGACTGTAATGTAACTCAGTACCTCCGCCCCCCCCCCCCGCCACACATACACAGTGGCCCTGAGGTCTCCCTCTCTGCCATCCTCTCTAGGGTTTCCCCAGAGCACCATGCTGGTCTGGGCATCTATATTGTATTCATACCATTCTTACTGTTCTGGTTCTGATTTTTTTTTTTTTTGCAGTTTTTGGCCGGGGCTGGGTTTGAACCCACCACCTCCAGCATATGGGCTTGGCGCCCCACTCCTTTGAGCCACAGGCACTGCCCTGGTTCTGATTTTTTCAAAGCATCGATCTCAGATTACTCTCATGTTAGAAATCAGAAAGCAAAACAGCTGACTTTCATTATGCATTTGGTAATGCCTTGTTTGCTAATTAGGAAATGAGGAAGCCTGAGGAACCATGAGGGAAAGAATTCAGGGGTGATGGAACTTTTTCCAGAAACTATTAAAGATCAACAAGCAGGCAGCTGTGTACTCACAGAATCCTTCTTACTTTCAGAATTGAGCTCCATGTCCCCAGTTACAGGGAAGGGGCCTTGGTAGGGAGACCAGCGCTCCTTGTACATGAGAGAAGGATGTTCCATCAGGAAAAACGGTCTTGCAAAAGGTATTTGGTTATGGGCGGTGCCTGTGGTCAAAGGAGTAAGGCACTGGCCTCATATGCCGGAGGTGGCAGGTTCAAACCCAGCCCTGGGCCAAAAAAAAAAAAGTATTTGGTTATGATAGGAGCAGTTTTCAACCATCCCGAGCTTTTGTTAACCTGAGGTTTGTGAGTTGCTTCTGTTGCACACGTGTGCAATCCAGGACTATCATATCAAAGGCTGGTTAGTGTATCTTGGTAGGGTTGAGATAATTGTTCCGATCTGAATGAAAATTCCCACAGCGAGAGTACTTACTGGCATCCACTTCCGTGACCATGATTGGTTTGGAGAACTGAATTCGGAATCCCCAGGGATAATCTCCAGTTCCTTTGAATAGCCTCACGGTTCTCTCGCGAACTAAAAAGAAAGCAAAAAGGGCGTGCTTGTGAGTTAGTTTTCAGGTACTGTAAAGTATATTGTGGAAGCAGCTAGTATTTCTTGCTTGCCTTGTACAGGCTAGGCCCTCTAAGTGCCGTCTACCTTAATCTTCATCACAGCCTATTATTATTTTTCTCTAGTTGGAAAGGAGGAAATAGAGGCGCAGGGAGGCCCCTGTGAGTCGGGGGCTGTGCTCACCATGCCTGGGCTCCCATCTCCCAGGTGCTTGCTCTTAACCCCTGTGCCGGACGCCTCACACGGCACCTGGGGCTTACAGATGTGAGTCCCTCCAATCTGCAGATAATGTGATAGCAGATAATGCTATCTGCTATTGTCCCAAAGTTGTACGTGGACATAGAAAAACAGCACCCTCAGCACACATGGGGGCCTCACAGGAATCCAGGAAAAGCTGCACATCTGAGCGTCTCAGAAAAAGCAGAAATGGTTGAGCTGAGCCAAAAATGGAACTAGGATATGAGGTTGTTGTGGACTGAAGCTGGAGCATTCCACGAGTTGCACAGTGAGAATTCCTGCATTTGTACACTGTGGAGGTCTTTAACCCGGCTCAGCCATTCCACAGTCTGCTTTTCCACAGACCATCTCCCTTCTCCTCCTGTCCCTTTCTCCCTGCTACCCACACACTCGCATTCCTGTGAGCACAGGTGCACCTCACAGACACTGCGACACTGCCCTAAGTGGGTGTCATGATGAACGGGGCCGCGTGGCTTCCGGCTTCCCAGTGCGTGTAATCGTTATGTTCACACCGTATGCTGTCGGCCAAGTGTGCAAGAGTCAGAACACAGTACAGACCTTAATTAAAACGCTTCATTGCTAAAAAATGTGAGCAACTACCTGAGCCCCCAGCAAGGGCTTCTCTCTTTGCTTACCCCTTGGAAGAACCCCTCATCCACCCAGGCTTTATTGTGGGGAGCAGCGACTCAGCCACACCTTCAGGCTCTGCTCCTTACTCAAGTTCTTTTGCTATTTCTGCCACATCTACAGTTACAACCTCTGCCAAAGTCTTGAACCACTCAAAGTCATCCATAAGAGAAGTGATTAACTTCTGCTAAACTCCTGCTAAGGTTGATCTTTCTACCTTCTCTCGTGAATCATGGATGTTCTTAATGGTAAACAGAGCGGGGAAGCCTTTCCAGAAAGTGTTCGATTTACTTTACCCAGAAGCATCAGAAGAAGCTCTGTCTGTATAGTTTTATGAAATGTATTTCTTAATAGGATTTAAAAGGCCAAACTATTCCTTGATCCCTGGGCTGCAGAATGGAGCTGTGTTCACAGGCGTGGAAACAGCATTCATCTCCTTGTACGTCTCCACCAGAGCTCCCGGCGACCAGGTGCACCGCCCGTGAGCAGTAACATTTTGAAAGGAATCTTCTTTTCTGAGGAGGTCTCGGCAGTGTACTTGAAATGTCCTGTAGACCGTCTGCAGACAGGTATGCTGTCACCCAGGCTTTGTTGTTCCATTTATCGAGCACAGGCAGAGTGGATTTAGCAGAATTCTTAATTCCCTGGGATTTTCAGAATGGTAAATGAGCACCAATTCAACGTACAGATACCAGCTGCCTTAGCCCCTAACAAGGGAGTCAGCCTGTCCTTCCAGGCTTTGAAGTAAAACGCTGATGGCTCTTCTAGCTATGAAAGTCCTAGGACAGCATCTTCTTCGGACAGAAGGCTGCGGTGTCTGCACTGTGAATCTGCTGGCTGTAGCCACCGTCATCTTCTGGATAGCTGCTCCAGCTTTCCATCAGCACCTGCTACTTCACCCTGCAATTTTAAGTTACAGAGATGGCTTCTCTCCTAAACCTCACAAATGGGTCTCTGCTGGCTTCCAGCTTGCTTTGGTTGTTCCTCACCCCTCTCAGCCTTCAGAGAACTGGGGAGAGTCAGAGCTTTACTCTGGATTAGGCTTTGGCCTTGAGGAAGGTCGTGGCTGGTTTGATCCATCCACACCACTAAGACTTTCCCCGCATCAGCAATAAGGCTGTCTCACTTTCCTGTCGTGTGTGGTTACGGGAGTACCACTGTAATTTCATTCAAGAACTTTCCATCGAATAACTCGGTTAACTGGCACGGGAGACCTGGCTTTAGCCTCACTTGGTTTTCAGCACGCCATTCTCACAGAGGTTAATCACTGCCAGCTTTGATTTAAAGAGAGGAACCTGCAACTCTTCCTTGTGAAGGGGCAATTTCTGTAAAGGGGGATGTGGGCATGGTAGGCCCTTTGTTTTCCACGGTATCATTTCTTTTTATTTAGAAAAAATATACCTGGGTTGTGCTAGAGTAAAAACTGAAATGAGGCTTAAATGAGCTTAAGAGAATCTCAGAAGATTCATTTTTATTTTTTATTTGATTTTATCTTTTTTTTATTGTTTGGGATTCATGGATGGCACAAAGAATTAGGTTACACTGACTTCATCTGTTAGGTAAAGTCCCTCTTATAATTGTGTCCCACCCCCAAGAAGTGTGCCAGACACGGTGACCCCCATCCCACTGCCTCCTCCCCTCTCCCCACTTGCTCTTCCCCTACCCAACCCCTTATATTAGCTCATCTGCTGCCTTCATATTAGAATTGAGTACATTGGATTCTTGCTTCTCTGTTCTTCTGATGCTTTACTAAGAAGAATGGGTTCCAACTCCATCCAGATTAATACAAAAGATGTAAAGTCTCCATATTTTTTAGTGTCTGAATAGTATTCCATGGTACACATATACCACAGCTTGTTAATCCATTCCTGGGTTGGGGGGCATCTAGGCTGTTTCCACATTTTGGTGATTGTAAATTGAACTGCAATGAACAGTCTAGTGCAAACGTCCTTACGAGAAAATGATTGGTAGATGTTATCTTATTTTATTTTATTCATTCCTTGAGACAGGGTCTTGCTCTGATACCCAGGCTAGTCACAGATCACTGCAGCCTCAGACTCTGGGCTCAGCCAATCTTCCTGCCTTAGCCTCTAAATTAGTTAGAACTATAGGTGTGATCCACATGCCCAGATAACTTTTATATTTTAATTTTCTTTTTCTTTTCTTTTCTTTTTTTTTTTTTTTTTTTGAGACAGAATCTGAAGCTGGGTAGAGTGCTATGGCATCATAGCTCACAGCAAACTCAAACTATTGGGCTCAAGTGATTCTCTTGCCTCAGTTTTTCTATTTTTAGTAGAGACAGGGTATCACTCTAGGGTGGTCTCAAACTCATGAGCTCAAGCAGTCCATTTGCTTTGGCCTCTGAATGTGCTAGGATTACAAGTGTGAGCCACCATGACTGGCCTAATTTTATTTTTCTTATTTTTTTGTGGTAGAGATGGGGTTGGTCTCACTATGTCATCCAGCTCGTCTCCAAGTCCTAGGCTCAAGTGATCCTTCTGCTTCAACCTGCCAAATTATAGGTGTGAGCCACCACAGCAGACAGAAGATTCATTTTTGAACACTAACAAAGGTATCCAATAAGGAATTGTAACAGAAGGCTTCAAAATCATGTTTGTTTGTTTTCACTGAAGGTCAAGTTCTCTGGAGAGAAGTACCAATTTAGTACTGTGAGAATTATCTTCCCGTGCTTTATTGGTTGAAGTTTTCTTCTATAGGTCAGTGAATATCTACAAATCCTAAAGAGTAAATCAAAACAAAGTGTAACAACAACCAAGCCCCAAAGGGGAATTACTAGTAATATGTTTATTCTCGGTTTTCTGGGGGAAAAGTCAATTAATTAGTTAGTTATAAAATAAGAATTCTATCTATTCATAAGGGAAGGGAAAATGAGTACATTAAAATTTTAAATTTACTAGAGCCTCCTTCATTAAAAAATAGAAATATTGGGCGGCATCTGTGGCTCAGTGAGTAGGGTGCTGGCCCCATATACTGAGGGTGGTGGGTTCAAACCTGGCCCTGGCCAAACTGCAATGAAAAAATAGCTGGGCATTGTGGCGGGAGCCTGTAGTCCCAGCTACTTGGGAGGCTGAGGCAAGAGAATCGCCTAAGCCCAGGAGTTAGAGGTTGCTGTGAGCAGTGTGATGCCATGGCACTCTACAGAGGGTGACTAAATGACACTTTGTCCCTACAAAAAATAAATAAAAAATAGAATGGCAGCGTCTGTGGCTCAAAGGAGTAGGGCGCTGGCCCCATATGCTGGAGGTGGTGGGTTCAAACCCACCCTTGGCCACTGCAAAAAAAAAAAAATATGGTATAATTTATGGCTAATATGTTTACTTTTTAACTTATAACCTTTCTTTCAGATTTTATGCTTCAGTTTTTATTTCTCAGGGAAATTTAGATTTCCCAGAGAAATGGGAAATGTCCCAGGTTGGAGAGCAGGGACATTTCTTCTTTGAAGATTGCCTCAGCTTTAAGTCCATATTTAAAGACTATTACAGAGTGCCTAACATAGGCAAAATATGATCAGAGCTAACAAAAGCATTTAGGAGGCCAACGGAACTCTTGAGAATTCAAAATGACTTGACCACGAGTGTATTTAGAGAGGTAAGAGCCAGTCTCCACTTGGTGAGGAATTTCCTCCCCACCATCTCTGACAGTGGACGAGGTGGGTGAGTCCCTGATACTTGGGGAAATATCATTGTTACAGGTTCACACTATACTTTTCAGAGTTTGTGAGAGATTTGCCATGAGTTTATTTTTGTGAGAGATTTGCCATGAGTTTATTAATTTTCTCCCATATCTTCTGAAATAACTCAGTATTCCTAACATTAAGTTTCCTATGAGAAATGACAAAGGTAGTGTAAGATTAAGTGATCTGTCCAAAGGTGGTCACACGTGGAATAAAAACGGAAACATGACTGTCCTTATTGATTCCTGGTAGTCTCATAGCAGGAGTCATTCGGTCGCAAACAACTGCTGAGCACCACTGTATGCCCAGGTGTTCCTGTGTCTCAGAAACGTAGCGGAGAAGAGACAAGGGGACTTTTCCTCATGGAGCTGGTGTGCTACACATGGGCTCCCTGAGAGGTGAACAT